CAATGCCTACATCTGTTAACACTGGGGATTGCCAATGCTAATTATTTCTTTTTCATTAATTAGTTGAAACACTGTTATTTTTTCTTTTTACAGATGCTTTCCCGCACCTCTTATTTGGTTATTCAGTGGTATAATTCATACGATTCAAAGTGTCATATACTTGATTCTTTTTCCCTTTATTTTCCAGTTTTCTGGATAATGAAATGGTTCCCTACAGTCCTTCCAAAGTGATTAGGATTTTTTTTTAAATTATAAACTCACGGATTTAAACATATTTGATGAGTTCCATTCCACTGCAATTATTATTACTATTGAAGTTCAAATCATCCTATCTTTGTCCAGTGGGAGCCTCTTCAAGTTCACTCCTGAGTCCTCTTGATATGACCCCAGCAATCTTTAATAACTTTCTTGCTATTTGGATTGACAAGATGTTCTAGGATCCTTTGTCCATTTCCTGACACTGACCTGGAATCAGCTACTTCTCCCAGAGCTCTGGTTCCTTTTAGCGGCGAATTGGTTATTTTAAGACCACAATGTGGGTACTAGAGATTCTCCTTGTTCCTGGGCCACTGTATGTGTACATGCAGGTACCTACACATTTACCTGTGTGTGTTTATGCCATGCTGGAGTGAATCCTGCTTCTCAGGGACAAAGAGGATGACAGAATTAGAACAGCCCATAATTATTTGATTTATCCCATATTGAACCTATATCAGCACTAGAATAACAATACTACCACCACCAATATGATTCCTGGAGAAACTCTATCTGCCTCTGCTCCCCGCAGTACCTCCCCATTTTTTCACATACTATACTCTCCCCCTTTTAACCAGCATTTTGATTCTATGAGTTTATAATTCACAGTGGTCTTTATGTCACTGCCTCTCTAGTCATTTTGATTGTCTCAAGCTCCTTCTCCTCTACATCCCACTGGAAGGCCTCATGGGAACAATATGCCGAGTTCTTACTTATAACAGTTTATCTCTGCTTTCATACTTAAAAGATTTGGAAATAATATCCTCAGCTCACATTTCTTTCCCTTGAGAATCCTAAATATATTACTCCATTTTTTTTTATATAAAGAGTTACATGTAAAAAATCTGATGATCTAATTTTTTTTCCCTTAGAAGTCTTTCCTTTGGTTTAGATATCTAAAGGATTTTTTTTTCCCTTTCAAGTCTAGTTTACTTACTACCACTGTATCATTCTGGGTTACCACTCTCATGTATGTGGTGTGCTCTCTCAATATATAATTTTAAGTAGTTATTTCAGAAGGGTTTTTTTTGGCATTACAGTTTTTAGTATTTTTTTTTTTGTTCTCTAAGATTTATTTATTTATTTTGGAGACAGAGAAAGTGGGCGGTGAGGAGGTGCAGAGGGAGAGGGGGAGAGTCAAGTAGACTCCCCACTGAGAGAAAAGCCCAGCACGGGGCTCGATCCCATGACCCTGAGGCATGACGTGAGCCGAAACCAAGAGTTGGACACTTAACAGACTGAGTCACCCAGGCGCCCCTAGTATTTTTTTTTGTTCCCTTGATTTTTCTTCTTCAAAACTCTAATTATCCATAGTAAATCTTCTTTGCCTATTGCCAGTATCTGACACTTTCTCTTAAATCTTTGTTTTTCTTCTTTTCTTTTTGCATTTTTAAGTTTTGTATTTTAAGCACATTTTGAAACAGCACACTTCAGTTTTGATCTCTTTTACTGATGTCTTCCTGGCATGCTTTCATGGTCTGCAGGGAAACATCCCTGCTCTGTCTTCTTCTGTTCTTCTCATCACTTTATATGACATTGGATCTTGATACTTTTCTGATGCTCATTATGCAAAATGAGTTTTCCTGAACCTTTAGAAGGTGTAGTTCAAGAAAATCTGAGTGACTTGACAGAACTCCCTCTTGGGTTATTTTTGTGAAGTATTCAAAACCATGGCACACTGCTTTCTGAGATGTCCTGCACCTCTTCCCTTTCTCTGCTTTTCTCTTTCCTTCGTGTCTACTATCATTGTCCTGCCCAATTTTTTTTTTTAAAGATTTTATTTCTTTATTTGAGAGAAAGAGAATGAGAGACAGATAGCAAGAGAGGGAAGAGGGTCAGAGGGAGAAGCAGACCCCCCGCTGAGCAGGGAGCCCAATGTGGGACTCGATCCCAGGACTCCAGGATCATGGCCTGAGCTGAAGGCAGTCGCTTAACCAACTGAGCCACCCAGGCGCCCCTGTCCTGCTCAATTTTGACTCCATGGGGAATCAGATGGGTCCCCTGACCTGGAAGGGAGCTTTGGTGGTTTGGTTTCAAACATTTATGTGGCCCAGGCTGCCTCAGCTCCTTTCAGAACCCACCCAGAAGCCCCTGCACTCAGCTGGCACTGAATCAGGTAAAACCCCTCCCAGTTTCAGCTGCTGTGCTCAAATTGGCCTGTAGTGATCTCCTGTTAGCTATTCACATGTGTCAGATACCCTGTTGTTCCTTCCTTGTTCCTTCCTCTTGTATAAACCCTGATAAAATGCAAGTCTGGTGGCTCTTGGTGGTTTACCACCACCGCCTGCTTATATTTAGGGATTTGTGGGGATATCTTATCACAGAGTTTTGAGGTAAATGCCTATGGGTATTTGGTTTTGCTACCCGGTTGTTCAGTTTTATGTGAGGATTCAGAGTTTAAAACTATGTTGTTGCTGTCTTCTTCCCAGAACCAACTAGGCATAGCTATATTTTTAGGGGGGGGGAGGAGCAGAGGGAGAGAGAATCTTAAGCAGGCTCCATGCCCAGGGCAGCGGAGTCTGATGCAGGGCTGGATCTCAGGATCCTGATATCATGACCTGAGCCAAAATCAAGAGTTGGATGCCTAACCAACCGAGCCACCCAGGCGCCCCTAGACATGGCTATTTTTAAAAGAATATTTTTCATCTATCTCCAAAGCTGGTCTCTAAATTCGACGCATCACTGCCTGCATGGCTATACTGTCCTTGCTGCCGAGGCAGACACTGCCACCCACCTCTGCTCAGCCAGGGCTGCTCTGGGGGCAAGTCTTCTCCAGCCTGATTGCCGCTTCTCCTCCGTCAGGACGTGCTCTCCTCCAAGACAGCGGGACACTACAGACGTCCAGATGTGGCGGCTATTCAGTGATGCAGAGACGGGGGAAGTAGGCAGAAGGTGGTGGAGCCCTTCATCTTCTGGTTCACCTGCATCTGGCTAACAAGGCAGTGCCTCCCGAGCAGCAGCAGTCCAAGCAGAGTTAGGAAAATCAGTTGTTCTTTTACTGCAGTGGATGGGAGACGGCTAGTATACCAGTTAGATTTGGGTCACGGAGCTTAGGGGACAAGGCAGCCCTCCAGGGGGCTGCCCAAGGACCTTCCTCCACTATCTGAGCAGGGTGCCTTCACCATTCTGGCCTGATGCGAGTGATGGCTGCTAATGCAAACGGCGGCTGTATGTTTCCTATCTTCTCCCTTTCTGAGAGTTTTTATTTTCCTTTGCAACCATTGTATATTGGGAGCAGACAGGAAGTCTTTTTGTATATAGGTCAGTAGATTACAAGAAGCTTCATCTGGACCTGATAAAGACAGCTGCACAGAACCTCGAGATCGTGGGCGTTGAATGGGGTGCAGTATCGTATGGGGGAGGAAGTGGGTTCCACTGACAGCACAGGAGTATGCATGGATACCTGGGTGGCTGGAGGGGCAGACTGTGACAGATAACAGCATTTACATTCCCTCATATCTACCTGAACTCCCCCCTTCTAGTGTGCAGGAGCTGAAAAGTGAAGAAGAAAAAAAAAATCCCAGACTCCCTTGTAATTTGGGTTCAAAATGTGGTTTAGGTTCTACTCACCACTTGTAGTCACAGGAGGCTTTGATTTAGAACTGAGTCATATGGAGAGAAGCGAGCTCTCGGGTATCATCAGTTCAACAGACTGCGGCAAAGGCAACACGTTCTTAAGTTGGCCACAGCGGTGGCAGCTTCCTGATGAGAGCTGAGGTGGCCGGTTGCATCTAGCAGCTACGTGGGATAGTTTCCCAGTTAGGGCAAATGCAGAAGGCACTCTGAGGGTTTCCATATGCTTTGGGGAGTTGTTCCTCAAAGCTCGGTCTAGAGTTTTTTGCTCAGCCCTCCAGTGATTCTGAAAGTCACTTTAAATCTTATAATAAATCACTTTCGGTTTAATCTTCCTAGAATGGATTATGTTTTCTGCAACTGATCTCTGACCAACAGAGTCAGCCAATGAACAAAACGCAAACAGCTCCGGCTCTCGCTTGCTTTACCAACGGGCAGGCAGCCAGCCTTCCCAGGTGAGCCCTTTCCTAAATGGTCCTAGCAGGAAGGGGATACTTCCAGCACTTGGGCATGTGTACGCTTGCTGCCCAAGGAGACAGAAGGGACAGTCTACCAGAAGCACACTGATGAGCAATGCTGGTACTTTCTATGTTTTGGCCATACCCACTGATAATTTTGTTCGTCCACGTATGGCAGAACGACATTGCACATTCTCTCTGAGAACTGTCAAATAAAAATGTCATTTGTGTTTTTAAAAGAATGTTTGGGTTCAATGAATCATGAAACACTACATCAAAAACTAATGATGTAATGTCTGGTGATTAACATAATAAAATAAAATTTAAAAAAAACATTTGGGTTCAGAGAAATGAAGAGGGAAGATTTTCAGATCTAAAATATGTAAAAGGCTTCCAATTTAGGATGCAATTTATAAACTGTATGGTTTCCCTCCCATTTGTAGCACACGTTATCTTCGTATAAAAAGAAACGCAGTTTTTCCTCTATTTCAGCTATGTTTTATTACAAACACCAGAAGAGCAGCCAGCGATATTTGGCTGCATTGTTTTGCAGGCTATAACCTGAACATTTCAGCTGGTGTATAATGTGAGCACACTTGGCTTTGAGCCACAGGCAACAGGGGCTGGTTATCCTGCACAGCACTGGGGCTGTCCTGCCAACAAAGGACAGGGTGCACATCAAGCACATAACAGCTGTTCTCAAAGGGCAAAGAACGTAACCTCATCTCCCAGAGTCAGCTCTTCCCTGCCTGTATGCAGGCCCGGACTCTCCCTCGGGGCAACCGGTCATCCATCAGACACTACACAGTGACCTCTGGGAACAATGTGTCCCATCTGTCCTCAAACTTCCCGGAACAGCAGCAGCAGTGGCCTGTCACTCCTGAAAACTCAGGCCAATGGGTTACAGTATGGTCATGTGTCTCTTCTCCCTCACAGAGGTGATGACACCCAACTTACATTCTTCATGTCCACTTGGGTATTTTTACCTTTTCGATTTACCAAATGCGATTACCAAATGCTACCACATCATTACATCTCTTGTATCCTGCATCTTTTTTTCTAATAAACTTTTTATTTTAGAACCTCTTGAGACTTGTAGAATCATTGTGCAGAGTACAGAGAGTTCCCACATAGCCACACCCAGTTTCCCCGATTATTCACACCTACGAGTCTGGGACGTCTGTTGCCATTAATGAACTGATATTGACACATTATTATTAGCTAAAGTCCATATGTGTCCTTTTTCTGGTCCACGGTCCCTTCAAGGTCCATTACATTTAGTCATCATGTCACCTTAGTTTCTTCTTGGCGGTGACAGTTGATTTTCCTTGTCTTTTGATGGTCTTGATAGTTTTGAAGAGTACTTAGCCGGCATCTTTTCAAAGTTGTCCTTCACTTTACTAACAAGGAGAATCAGAGAATATGGTCTTTTGGAAGAAGGTATTAGATGGATCATGAGCCTTCAAAACAAAACCTAGCAGTCCTGAGTTTTCAGAAAGACTCCGATGGCTTTATCTCTGTCCATGCTCATCTGTGATGGAAAGTTGGGTGCGCTGCCTGGTGGATATGTGGACAGCTGCTGAGGGAACGCCTACGGAGCAGGGGCTCCCCAACCTGGCTGATCATTACATTCAAGTGGAGAACTTTATAAAGCAGAGACTCCCAGCCCTGGCCCAGAGGTACTGAATCAAAATCTCTACCAGTAGGGTCTTAAATTCTGTATTTTGTATCTCTTTAAAAAGTAACAATAATGCTAATTATGTTTTTGATATAGAAAATTATAAAGCATGGCCCATAGTCTGTTAGTATTATTAATATAAATAAAAGTATGTGTAGAAAATTTAAAGAGTAACCAAAAGTCCAAAATGAAAAGTGAATGCCTCCCTATAATCTATTTAACCATTTTCTAGGGATATTTTGGTTGTTCCACTTCTATTGTTGCCTTTATTTGCTTTGGGATTTGTATTCCAACAAGTTTCCTAAGATATTCTGGTGTCATCAGAAATTTAGAACTCAGCATTACAGAATAAATTCACAATTCAGCTATGGAGGGACAGAGTGGCCCTTTCAGAATGACATCCTTTATAAAACCATCAAGCCCTGCTCTCCCCCTGCCTCCCCTGAACAAGTTAGCTCTAAAGCCATTAGATGGGGCAGAGCAAGGAGAGGTGGCCTGTGACAGCCCGTGGGTGTCCAAGCCCAAGGGGGGTGAAGAGGGCATCCACACCAGGAGGGAAGGCTCGAAGTGGAGAATCAGAGCCCAAGCAGGGGAAGGAGGGCGTCCCTACAGAGGGCAGGTTGAGGGGAGTTAAGGCCTTAGTGGGTGAGGAGAGTATCCACGTGTAGGGACAGCCTGAGGTGGTATGTCAGGGCCTGAGCAGGGAGAGGTAGGTATGGGTATCCATGGGGAGGGGTGGCCTGAGGTCCAAGGGGATGAGGAGGCCATTCATGAGGGTGGGTACCTTTGCAACAGAAGTCAGAGCCCGAATGGAGGGCGTCCATACGGGGAAAGGGGTAGGTGTAATGGTGATGGAAGACTGATTATATCAGAGGGGTTAATCAAATAAATAAACATAATAAGGGTGACAGGAGCCAAGTTTCTCACTGTTGAAGAAAGGAGCCACTAATATGGAAAGGGAAAGGACAGAAACCCTGGATACCCTACAATTAGAGGTATCAACATGAACTTACAGATTTAAATATATGTAATTTAAATTTACTGTATTTATAAATATATACACTTGTATTATGTAATATATATAAACATATATGTAGTATATACTTGTATATACATATATGTATATTTGTGCACATGTCTGTAATTTATACATATGTCTATACATATTTACACAGATACATATGCAAATGTGTGCGTGTCTTTTGAGTGGGCTTGGGAGCAGCAACATCCCCCTCAATAGCAACAGACACACCTAGTGCCCAGACCTTGGCTTTTATACCATTTTCCACTAAAAAGAACCAGGGATCCTTGGAGAAATGATTGATTTCAGGGCTGGGGCAGGCAAAGAACATGATGAGCTTAGAACATCTTGTGCCAGAAATCAAGGGAAGTGTTCAAAGAATGATGAGGACATGTCCAAAGAACACAAGAGCCAGGCTGAAGGGGCTCAGGTGAAACTTGGGACAATTTGAGCATCAAAATAAATAAGGACTATAACAGATTACATCCCATTTAATAAAATAGAAAGCCAAGACCTCATACTGAGAGAAATAACTAAAAAAGTTCTAAGTCTGATAAAGAACAGGATATTTACATAGTTTCAAAGTATCTCCCACAAAATGTTCATCGATTAAAAGAAAAAAGATCACCTTCATAGGGGAAAAGCCCAGAAGATGCCGCTTTTAACCAAGGTATGGCAATAAAGATCATTAGCAATGGGACAAATTGATAATTGTGTGCCGCCTGATAGGATGCAATGGTAAGAACCCACCATCATCACTTCTGTGATATTTCTGCATGTATTCATTTTGTACCTTCAGTCAACAAACATTTTCTATGTCATAGTTTCTGGGGGTCAAGTGATTGTGGTTGAAGTCAAATAGTTGGCTAGGGTGACAGTCAACTTACAAAGTTTAACCAGGGCTGGAGAATCCACTTCCAAGCTCACTCAACATTGCTGGTAGGCCTCAGTTTCTCACTGGCTGTTGGCTAGATGCTTCAGTGGCTATGCAGACCTATGCATAGGGCTGCTCATGACATGGAAGCTTGCTTCACACAGAGCAAGTGATCCAAGAGATTACTTCACAACTTAATCACTTCTGCTACATGCTCTGCGTCACAAAGATCAACTCTTGTATCAGGTGGGAGAAGAATGCATAAAGGTGGGGATAACAGGAGGTGGGCCAATTTGAAGGTTGGCTATCACATTGCTGAAGGTTCATAACCTGAAGATAATCATGAAACCCAAATCCTTGGCTACTCCACAAAATAACTGGCCTGTATCCGTCGAAGTGTCAAGGTCATGAAAATCAAGGAAGAATGGGGAACTGTTCCAGAGTGGAGAGACTAAAGCAACCTGACAACTGCATGCAACGTGAGATGCGAAACCAGATCCTTTTGGAATTAAGGACCTTACTGGAACAACTGGCAAAAACTTGAATGGGGTCAGGGGATTAGCTGGTAGCAATGTATTGATGTTCATTTCCTGATTTTACTAGATTGTAAATTGTGATTTTGTTGGAGAATGTTCTTATTTATAGGAAATGCCCACTCAACTGCTAAAGAGAGAGAGAGAGAGAGAGAACATCAGGTCTGAAACTTACTCTCAAATGGTTTGGGGAGCGAGATGTTCTTCTGTAATTGCAACTTTTAGGGAAGTTTGAGATTGTTTCCATATTAAAAATGTATATGAATTATAAAGACCTATTACAGAAATTTAAGTGTGTAAGGGAGAAAATCCTAATTCTACTATAGGTAGAATTACATGATGGTAATTTTTTGTAGGTCAAAAATGTGTGAATATTGGTAATTCTATATGTTCAACTTAATACAAGAATACCCCAATAAACTAATCAGTATCAAAGATAATGAAATTATGGATTTCAATAAAAAGACAAAACAATTCACAGTGCCCTTTTGAGGAACTCTCTCCTGCAATCACCCACTCTTTGTCTAGCGTCCCTAGCATCTGCCTCTCTGTAGACCCCCTTCCATCAGCACACAGAGAAGCTGCTGGAATAACTTGATCTTAGAAACAATCCCCTGATTTCATAGTCCCATCCAGATATGTTCCTATTTCTTTGCACTCCTTCACAGCATTTTTTGAAAGAATGGTTTCTATTCCCCATGTCCTCTCACTCCCCATTTCTCCCTAAACTCACTCTAAATGGGTTTGCAAAGCTACCACCCATAAACGTTTGCTCATCAAGGCCATCAATAGCTTTCCTGCTGATTTTTCTGTCTTCAACACTGCTGTCCACTCCCTCCTTCTTGAGACATTTTCTTCTCTTGGCTTCTGTGAAACCACATTTCTCTTGAGTTTCCTTTTTTCCTCTTTGCTTGTATCCTCGCCCCCTACAACTCACCCTCCAGAAAACATGCACAGTCATTTTTTACAGTTGTGAACTGGAGCATGCCACTCTACAGAAAACCCTGCAGTGCCTTCCCACCAGATGGAGGAACACTAAGCTCTCGTGGGAGCTCCTGTGAGATCTGGCCCCTACCCATGCCCACTCCATCCCATAGGCATCCCTCTGGCCTCTCACTCAGTCTTCTGCCTGCTTCTCAAACCTGCCAAGCTTGTTCCTACACTGCTCTTCCATGCAAGTCCTCTCTGCTTCAAACATTCTTCCCCAGTCATCCCAGGGCAGATGCCTCGTCTGCATTCCAGTCTCAGCTCATGTGTTAATTCCTCAAAGAGACTCGCCCTCAAAACCTAATCTAAAACAGACTCCCACCCTTACCTGCCCCAATCCTTCTCTCCCATCATGCTGGCTTGTGTTCTTCAGAGCATATATCCTAATAGGAAACGATCTTATTTATTCATTTATTTGTTCAGTGCTTGTCTGCCTACCCCGGAACACAAGCGCCCCAAGTGTCTTGCCAGTCTTGTTCTTTACTGTATCTCCAGTGTCTAGGACAGTGCCTAACACATAGTAGGTGCTTCATAAATATTTGGTGAGTAAATGAATCACCTGCTTTCTGTTTCAAACTGCTACTGATCTCAAGCCGTCAGAGGTCTCACAGCTATGATAACAACTACAGAATCTAAGAGATGACCTTCCTTCCAAGTCACCTTGTCCACACTCAGATCAAATGAAGAACCTCTTCACAACATGGCTGGCAGAAGGTTATCCAGCCTCTGCCTGAGCACTCTCAGTAATGGGAGAACTCACGACTTTTCATAATGGAATATTTCCATGTCATTGCTGAGAGCTCTGTGTTGGAAAGATTTTCTCTTCAGTGACCCTAGATCTTCTTCCCTCTACATTCCACTTATATTAGTCCCTAAAGCAACTTAAAAAAGCCCCACTTCACCTGACAGCGACTCAAATATCACTTGAGGGAGTGATCACATGACTCCGAATTCTCTTCTCCCAGATAAATACTCGCAGCTATCTCAACACTTCATGTGACATGAAAAATGAACCAACACATCGTCTGAGAAAGGCCTGCAAGATTTTAGCAACTTGGTTTAAAACAGTGAAACCTTTCTGACATCTTATCTGAAAAATAAAACGTAAGAATGCCCTTCAGTATTCAGAGAACACAGTGTGATTTCTCATGACTGTCCTGTCCTCTTAACGCCTGCTCCCCTGCCTCACAGCCTTCCCGACACTGAGGGAACCACAGCGATCACAGGCCCAGGAGTGTCTCCTCTGAGACAAACACCCATCTCTGTCAACATAGGATTGTGGCTCTATGTTCTCAGTTCTGGATAAG